ATTCTCTTTCTGTGTTGCGAAGAAAAGGCACTGAACACCTTTTGCAGAGAACAAAATTCTGCGTAGGCGGCCTGCGGCCGCACTTAGGGATTATAACCCTCACAACGTAGAATTCTCTTTCTGTGTTGCGAAGAAAAGGCACTGGACACCCTTTGCAGAGAACACCTTTCTACGTAGGCAGCCTGCGGCCGCACTTAGGGATTATAACCCTCACAACCTAGAATTATCTTTCTGTGTTGCGAAGAAAAGGCACTGAACACCTTTTGCAGAGAACACCTTTCTGCGTAGACGGCGTCGGCCGCACTTAGGGTTTGTATGTTTTTTTATAATTATTTTACATTAATTCAATTTTTGTAAGAACTATACAACATATTTATAAAGTACATATAGCAAATTAAAGGGAATTAGCAAATTAAAGGGAATCAAATTAAATCAAATTAAATTATTAAATGAGATAAAAAATTTTAAAATCCATTCGTTCGTTTTTGAGAAATCTTGATTTCAAAAATTGCTTATTTTGAACTTTAACCTTTGATAATTCTTGTTGTTGTTGTTTGCCCAAAAAAAAAAGAAGTATACCGTTATACTCAGCTCAATCATCTCTATCGATTCCAATATTTTGTTTTTTAATTTGAGATTTGGAGCCCAACTGCATTTATGCTAAATTGGTTAGCACAAACAATGCTTCGTCTTCATATTCCTTGTTTACTTTTCACAGAAAATAACATGGCGCCGAAATTACAAACGTCAGCCAGAAAATTACTTGGGGTGTTCACAGTTCGTTCCAAATAGTGTCTCAAAATGTAGACGTCTACATTTTAAGACGTTTTCTAACCGTAAAATCTGTGGTGTTGTTGTTTCCCATACAAAATTGGAAAACGACGCCGTCTACATTTTGTCACACTCAAAGGTATGTTTTTTACGCGTCTACATTTTGCAACCTCGCAGCAGGGTTGCATTATGGCAATACTAATCACATTTTTTTTATTTATTGGGCACGTTTTCTGTATTTGCATTTAATTTGAGCGCAATTTCTGATGAAAAGAAACAAATCAAGGAAAAGAAATAACAAATATTACGAATAGGTAATTAAGTTAAAAAATTACAATTTTTCAGAAACAAAATCGAAAGGCGACATATAAAAAATGCACGCAAGGAAGAAATGTCTGGCAACACCAGCAAAGTTTTGAGACGATTTTGCGACGAGTGCTAGAAAGGGGTGCTCACAGTTTGATGCTAAAGATGTGTCAAAATGTAGACGTCTACATTTTCAGACACAATTTGGAACGAACTGTGAACACCCCAACTTTTTTCTTTTGCTTCATTTCATCATCATGATGNAACCGCAGCTGTCAATAATTATCTAACCTTGTATTATTGAATCATGGATGGTCATGATGTAAACGGGCCTATAAACTGAAAGTCGATCACTAAAGTTCGGTTTTTAATAGTAAAGTCAATTTTGGTCGATGTCGAACCCGACTTTGCCATCTCTATTTTGCATTTAGCACGTTGTGATTAAAAAGCGAAAACATTGGTGTGTATTGCCAATATGCCGGAGAGTGAAGTAACAGATCAAAAACAAGCTAGGCTAAATACGTCTGGGCCAAAACGTTATTTTCAGTCACCTCTATCTGAAGATGAAGTGAAACCAATTAAGTTAAAAAACCGTAGCCAGCAAAACTTCTCAGGCGAAGTCATAAAAGTGGAGTTGAATAAGCAGCTCCCATTTAAGAAATCCCATCGCAAGCTAGTAGACAAAAAAACAATAAAAAAGGAAATTCCAGAGCCAAAAATTCCTAAAGGACTCCTTCAAAAATACTCCAAGGGGGAAAAGGTAAAATCTAAAGGCGTAAAGACTAAGTTTTTCAAGGAAAAACTACAGCGAAAAGAAATTTACTTGGAATATGCAACAGAGCAAGCAGCGCGAACTGAACTTTTACTCACGGAGCAACAAGGTTTTATTGAACCAGACGAAGAGGAGCTGACTGCGCAGTACAGGCAGGAGGAAATTTCCCAAAATGTGAGCAAAATAACATACTTTTCGAGCATTCATAACATTTTTACATTTTAGGTCGATATTCTCGCTGCATCCAAACATTTTAAGTTAAACCTTGATTTCGGACCTTACTCCATGCGTTATACTAAAAATGGACGTCACCTGCTTCTTGGGGGACGACGTGGACATGTTGCTGCTTTTGACTGGGTAACAAAAAAACTACTTTGTGAAATAAATGTAATGGAAGAAGTAGTGGACGTCTCTTGGCTGCATGTTCATACCATGTTTGCATGTGCCCAAAAAGATTGGGTGTATTTTTATGACAACCAAGGCACAGAATTACATTGCGTAAAACGTCTATACCGCGTTAACTGCATGGAATTCTTACCTTACCACTTTCTACTCGCAACTGGTAATAAAGATGGCTATGCATCTTGGCTGGATGTATCTATTGGCGAACTGGTAAGTAATTTCAACACAAAGCTTGGAGATATACGAATAATGCGACATAATCCTGGAAATGGGGTGATGTGCATTGGAGGAGGAAAAGGTGTTGTGTCCATGTGGTCCCCTAAGGTTCGCGAACCACTTTCCAAATTGTTATGTCACTCCACTCCGATGAGTGCATTGTGTGTTGACCCAAAAGGACAGTATATGGTCACAGCAGGGCAGGATCGAAAAGTTAAAGTTTGGGATATCCGTGCATTGAAAGGTCCCATTGTTAGATATCAATTAAGATACCCAGCTAATCAGATAGAAGTGTCCCAACGTGGAGCTTTGGCTTATTCACAGGTAATTTATACCTAATAGTAATTTTTTTTTTTAATTCGCAACTAATATATTTATCAGGGTACGTACTGTGAAATTCAATCGAACTTATTACTGGGAAATAAAGCGAAAACTCCTTACCTGCGTCAGACATGTGATTCATTTGTGCATTGTATGCGTTTCTGTCCATATGAAGATGTCCTTGGTGTAGCTACTGCGAAAGGGTTTCAATCACTGCTCGTACCCGGCTCTGGGGAACCCAATTATGATGCATTGGAAGACAATCCTTATCAGACAAAGTCACAACGCCGTGAACATGAAGTTCATGCGCTTCTGGAAAAAATCCCGCCAGAGTTAATTACATTAAATCCAAATGAAATTTCGAATGTAGATGTGCCTACATTGCAAGAGAAAGTTGATGCCAAGCGAGCACTATTCCATGTGAAACCACCTAAAATTGACTTCAAAGCAAGGCACAAAATGAAGGGTCGTGGAGGAAGTGCGAAAGCTTCCCGCAATAAGCAAATTGTTAAAGATATCAAAAGAAAAGTATATATCTTTTTTAAGGAAAGCGTATTGCACTGTTTCATCTTTTTTAAATTTTACAGGAGTTTATTGAAGGCGTTAAAAAATCGAAGCAGGCCATTGTCAAGCAACATACGAAGAATGCTACAGATTTTATACCATTGGAAACGAGTGAACCATCCGTACTTGATCGGTTTAAGCCTAAAGACGATAGGAAGTAGTGTTTGGAAATAGTTGTTTGTTTAAATCTGGATACTTATAAGATTAAAAACTTAAGAAAAATATTTTATTTTGTATTATTAACAAGAAATACTCTCGAATGAGGCGATACAGAAGAGTTCCAAGAGCGCATGAATATAGGCTGCATTCCAAAACGTCAAAATATAAACCATCAGTCTCTTTTATTTCTAAACCGCACTAGAAGGAAAAGTCTAACTAACAAAGAACCAATTTACACGATGACTTTTCATCTTGGGTGGAAAGTCATGCGTGTCGAGCTTGTAGGCAAGAAGTGTAGCGAAGTCAGCGGGGTGGCAAGCGTTTTGGCGTACCGCTTTTATCGAGTTCACTTTTTCGTATTTTTGCTTTGAGTTCGCGATTCGCTCCTTTTTAAAAATAAGGACGAAAGAGTTGACCAAAGAAAATTTTACGCTTAAATGTCAAAAATACGCAAGAAACGCCGCAAAGAAAAAGTCATCGTGTAAATGCACGAGGATTTTCGAAGACTTTTTTAAAAGGAACGTGCCAAAAACGCAGGGTGAAAAGTCGTCGTGTAAATTGGCTCCAAAACAACAACTAGCATCTAACCGGGGTTTCGGACATTCGGCATTACAATATGCTGATGTTTAGAAATAATAAAATTATAGTTTAAAAACCTAAAACCACGCTATAATAATTTCCATTCGTACTGTCATCAGGTATGTAACTTGAGAATAGAAATCGCTGCTTCTTTTAGGCGCATCAATATTACATAGCTACATCCTGAGCTAATAAAATGGAGGTAAAAAGATACTGATGCGTTGTATTTTGACGTTTGGAATGCACCCATAATCAGGGTATTCATCTTAGCGCGATACAAGTTGTTGTTGTTGTTGTTGTAGCAACATACAAGCTCCCCAAAGAGTTTTTGGCGAGTGTTGCTGGAGTGACAGTCCTTGGCCAAATATAAATCTGGGTCGTTCCGGTTACGCAGATCCGACTGTCGTGGGATCGTGCGATACAAGTTCACGAGATTCGCCCCAATCATTTTATAATTCTTATTTATTTGCAAATGTCAAGTTAATTTTATTGAATTAGTCATTTTTATTTCCTATTTAGAATAGCGGTATATTATTTAGTTTAGGATAATATATACTTGTAGTAATTTATAATCCTTTTATCCGAAATGTATTCATCAATATTTTGAAGCAACTGATTTTTATATTCTGGTGTATACTGTTTTTCGGTCCAGTAAAACAAGTTCATAATGTGCTTCTTTCCTTCAAACGCATTTACCGCCCCATAAACGTGTATTTTTTGTATGTTTTGAATAACAAGTTCAATTTTATTTTCAAGCTCATGCAATAAAATTGCGTTTTTTTGTTTGACTAACGATGACATGGCGATTAAAGTAGACAGTTGAATATTTGGTCTGAGTAAAAGTTGCGGCAGATAGAGCATGAAACGTTTAAAAATTTCATCTCCATAGGTCTGCCTTAATTGCCACGATCGTATGATATCACAAACCAGAGTAAGTACTTCGCTTTCCGAGTTATATTTAGCAGGAAAATGGTTTTCTAGGAATGCCTCCAAGGTGGAGTTAAGTAAATTGTTCGCTAAATTCCCGTGTAACTGTATAACATGTATGTCATTCTCCAGTAAGCAAATGCGTAGGGCCTGTATTAACACATGGTAATCTTGTAAAGAATGTGTTTTCAGATTGGAAACAACTTCTTCAAGATAATTTAATAGTGAAACAAACTTATTAGCCTCGAGTTGGGTAGTTTTATGCGATTTGTAAAATTGGCATATTAGATATGCTATACATATATTTTGCTGTAGGCATAACTGGCCACCACTGGAGTTGAGTGTTTGTAAATGTTTCTTATACGACTTTTTACTTGATTCTGGATCTGTAATAGAGAAGATAAAAAAGTAAATTGTCTTCTAAAATTTAAATTGGCTTGAAAGTGCGAGAGCTAATTGCTAAATGTATTAACTTCTTAGTAAACCCAAGCATTAGGATGGTTTGAATTGGAATAAGGTACTCATTGAATTAAAGTAAACTACATGAATTATAAACGACTAAATTAAACTAACCTCTTTCACATCCCTGCTGGTAGGGAAATACCTCAGTTAAGAAGCTACTGGCGAAAATTTCGGCGTATTCCTCTCTGAACCAGTCACTCAGTAGATTATGATTTTTTTCTTGTTCATGCAACTTAATAAGCTGCCATATATTCTGTAGAATTTCTAATACAACTTTCAAAGTTAGTGCGGCTTCACTAGTCAATGTGATTGACGTTGATTGATTCTGCGGCCGTACTTCAATCCACGATTCAATAAGTAATGGCAATAAATGGTTAACATATTCTCGCAACTTTTCCTCTTCAGTTTTTTCAACTGCTCCAGCACCATTACTGTTTAATGAAGGCCTAAATAGTGTTAGCAAATCGATCTCTGGTGCCGAATTGAGGTACGGTCGTCTTATCTCGTAATATTGCGGAACATTTGGATTAAATGTAACCACTTTCGTAAAGTTGTTTACATTTCTCTCGTTTTTTTTGTCACGTTCACTCTCTACCAACGTTGATAGCATTTGTTGTAAGCGCTCCAATACTTTCGTGCGCCATTTTATTGTTGTTTGCTTCTGACCCAAGCGTACGGTAAGGGTTCTACTAGTGTGATCACCTTCTTTTCGTGCTCGAGAAATCATTTCAAGAAAATTCCGAACAATCTTTGCGCTCTGTGTTACTACCAATTGTGGTACGTGTTCTATCAATACATCAAGCATGAGAAGAGAGTCTTCCTGTATCGCTGGCTGAATATGTGTCATAGCACATCGCAAATATGAGGAAATTATGTGAAAGAAAGGCAAAACTTCTTCTGTCGTCAACGTTGTTAAGAGGCATTTCAAAACCTTAAATGAATCCCTTCTTGTATCTTTATCCACATCAAGCGAAATAGCAGAAATGCTTTGAACAACGTTATGCATATAACCAGTTAGGTTAACACTCCTTGCTATTAAAGCTTCCCGGAGTTTTCGAAGGGCATCAGCACGGGCATTTGAGCTGTGGTGTTTTAATCGCGAAATTGTTTCTTTTATGTTTAGTTGGCGCTGCCCATCAGCAAATTGTGTTTCTTTCAACTGTTCCCGTATAGTAATTTTGCGGACTTTGAATTCGGTTTTTGTTACATTAAGTCCTTTAGGCAACTTTGTTGCCTTAAGCTTAACTTTGGCCTTCTCAGATCGTAGTTTCTTTTTGTGGCTAACCATATTATATTCAGGATGAAATACGTGCTACAATTAAAAAATTTAAAGAAGAGTACTACAACTAGAAGTGCAAAACTATCGATGGTACTATCGATAGTATCGATAGTTTTCATTCTCCAAAACTATCGATGGTTTTAATTCTATTTCCCTGCAAAAATCGTGGGACTATGTAGTATATTTGTGGTAAATTGGAGTACTTACAAACGTGATCCTCTGTCATGCTGTAGCGGACCAACTCGTGTCTCTGCGCCAGCTGTTTGTTATCCTATCACTGCTCGTGTTTTAACGAAATGTGATTGAAGTTGAGCATTTGGAAGCACATTTGCATGTCTGGCCGTAGCTGAACGTGTAGAGATGCTCGCTGTTAGTTCTTAGCTCCCAGCATGTTCGGGTTCTCGAATGCCGTCAGAGGCAACATGTAATTTTTAATTTTTGTCTTGGTTTTGATTTATTTCGAAAAAGCATTTGAGAAGTGAAGAACAAAAGCGTGTACAAACGAAAAAATATAACAACAATGCCATTGTTAATATGTTGGAGTAGTTTTGTGCTACTCTGATGTAATGCAGGGATGGAGTATATTGTCCTGCCCTAGGACATCGCAATGTTAATTAGACCATATTTTTTATATGAATTGTGGTTAATTTTGGAGTACTCCTTGGTCCTTAGGGAGTACTCTTCACACGCATGCATGGAGTAGTCGCCATTTTTGCAGGGATATCATGATTATAGTTGTGTTTTTTTGCAAATTATCCAATAACTTGCCAGCAACTCTCCAGTAACTAAATTGGGTTGGCTTTCCAAAACGGAACCAATCGAGAATGAATGAATGAATGAAAAAAATGAGGGGGTTTAGAGCGGCTTTTTGTGATTCTAAATCTGAACCCCCTCCCCCCCCTCCGGAGGCTTATAGTTTTTAAGTAATTTGTGCTTTTTTACGGGCTTCGAATAAACTTGGGAGAATCCCTGCTGCTACAAATAAAGGGGATTCTCGAGTAACAGTATGGTTTGATTTCCACTTGGATTCTCAACTTTGGTTTATTCTCTAAGACAAGAAATACAAAAAATGCAATTTACAGATAGTACAAGCTATATACATAGGTTGACTCTACTCACATTGGTTTCGCTCCGTAGACAAGTAAAAAAGAACGGAATTTGCTAGAAGCGGGACTACTTATAGGTTGACTTAATACATAAATGACATTCAAATACAGATACAATACACCGCTATTCGTGCTCTGCAACATTTGTAGGGTTGCCATCATCGACATCCCCGCCCCCGTGAGCTGACCCGGATGAGGAGGCCTCACTAATGGTTCGTGCTGGTTCCACATCAAGAACCGCTAACCTTGAGATAGGTCTTCGGTAGACTCCGCTGCTTGTCGTAACATGGGCGGAGCGAGCGACACCGTCTCTACCGTAGTGTAGCTCCACCACCCTTCCTCTCTTCCACTGCGACCTGGGAGATTCGGCTTCACATATCAAAACAAGACATCCTGGCTGGATGGGCTTTTCTGGCAAGCACCACTTTGTACGCCGCGTCAGTTCGGGTAAATATTCGCGCACCCATTGGTGCCACATACCGTTCTTCAAATTCTGCACCACACGCCACTGCTTTCTCACGCACAACAGGCGGTGATCAAATGGCGCTGGCGTCTGTGTGGAGTTGGGGCACCCCAACAAAAAGTGGTTGGGGGTCAGTGGCTCCGGCTCCTCGGGCGTCACCGGCAGGTGGGTTAACGGCCTGGCGTTGACCATGTTTTCAGTCTCAATTAAAAGGCTCTGCAGCGTTTCGAGTCGTGGTGAGTGTTCCTTCAACATAGTGAATAGCGCTTTCTTCACTGATTGGACGAGTCTTTCCCATGCGCCACCTTCACTCGAATTCGCAGGTGTGTTAAATTTCCAGCGGATGCCCAATGGCGTTAAGCCGGCCGTTAAAGAAGAGGAATCTAAAAAAGAACTTACGCCTTGCAGCTCCTTTGCAATGCCAACAAAGTTGGTGCCATTGTCGCTCCTTATCACCACGGGCACTCCGCGTCTATTAATAAAATTTCGGATGCAGATAAGGCACGCGTCACTTGACAGGTCAGTCGCCACTTCTAAATGGATGGCGCGCACAGTGAGGCAGGTGAACAGTGCGACCCACCTCTTCTCACGCTGGCGACGAATAGTTACGCTGATCGGTCCAAAAAAGTCAAGCCCGGTATAGGTGAAAGGCCTAACATACGGTGTCACTCGGTCAGGGGGTAGAACACCCATTTGCGGTTGCTGGGGCTTGGCACGTTTCACGCGACAAAGTTGGCATCGCGACTGCACGCTATTTAGCAGTCTTCGAAGCGAAGGGATCCAATACCGTTGACGAATCTCACTCATCACCGTGGCAACGTTGATGTGTAAAAATTTTACGTGATAGTATTCGGCAAGCAAGCGCGTCACCCTATGATTATTTGGCAATATAATCGGCTGTCTCGCTTCAATCGACGTGCACGCTGCCCTCTCAATTCTTCCGCATACTCGCAGCATGCCATCATTTGCAATAAAGGGGTTGAGTGTCCTCAATGTACTGCAGGTCGAAACAGCGCCATTGCGCTTTATGTCGGCAAGTTCTTCGGCATACGCTCGTTCCTGGACGAATTGTATAAGATGTGTTTCCGCTTGACGCTCTTCGTCAACGGTTAGTTCGCCTTTAGTGGGCGCTTCGTGCCGCACTTTCCTCAACAAATTTTGAACATAACGATGAATCCATGCCACAGATCGTTTCAGTCTAGAATAATTTGAAAAGCGATCAATATCTGGCATTATCACGTATACTTGCCTCGCAATTGACATAGTGTATTTGACACGCAGCTCATCTCCGCTGTGCTCCTCGCTATTAGCTATAAGTGATTCCTTCTGCCATAAGTTCTCGTCTTCCAACAAAAATTCTGGGCCATTTTTCCACCGTCCGTCCGGGTTATAGTTCGCCGGAAATTTCGCTCTAGTGGCATCATCGGCTGGATTGAGAGGTCCAGGACACCACCGCCAGTCTCGCATGTCGCTAGCTTCTAAAATTTCTGCCACTCTGTTGGCGACGTATTGTTTATATCGTCGGTGATCTGCTCGAACCCATCGTATAACTGTATATGAGTCGGTCCAGAAATAGAAGCGATTAATGATTTTATTATGGTTTAATACGATAGTTTCTTTTAACCGTAGCGCCATGACCGCAGCCTGCAGCTCAAGCTTAGGTATGGTATGGTAGCGCGTTGGCGCGCAGCTTGACTTTGCCATAACAAATCTAACGATAACCCTACCATCACTCACCACGCGCCAGTAAGCCACAGCTGCCAACGCTTCCTCACTTGCGTCAGAGAAGGNCGTTGGCGCGCAGCTTGACTTTGCCATAACAAATCTAACGATAACCCTACCATCACTCACCACACGCCAGTAAGCCACAGCTGCCAACGCTTCCTCACTTGCGTCGGAGAAGATGTGTAACTCTGCAGGAATACTTTCGAAGTCCCGCACGTAGCAACGCGGAATTCGAAATTGCTCGACCTTTGGCAATTCGTTAAGCCACATTTTCCATTTGTGATAGATGTCGTTTGGCAATGGCTGGTCCCATTCGATACCAGCTCTCCACACTTCCTGCATCAACACTTTCGCGCTTACCATAAAGTCCACTAGAAGGCCGAATAGATCGAAGATCGACATGTTGAGGCTCAGCATCTCCCTTTTAGTAGGCCT